GGCTTGTGTCGGACCATGCACACTTTTTGAATCTGTGGATAAACAGTAACGTTGCAAAAGACTTGCCACGGAAACTCCGAACGACAGTCCTCATTTGCTATTATCGCGGATTTTAACCTCTCCGGATCATAGTCAATACCAGCCAGTACAAGTCTCTATGCAGACACACGCAATATCATGCCCTGGTTAAGATGTCATGTGTTTCAATTCCCATCTGAAGTCTTTTCTCGTAAAACTAACACTAAAATGATTGGTAACCACAGCTCGGAATGACTCCTTTCATTCTCAACAAGAGTAGCTAGTTCATGCACGTTTCATTAAATAATATAGACAAGTGTTGTCTATTTATTTTATGTAATTTTTTTTCGTAACGTCTGATAAGTTTAATAACATTATCGTTGAACGATGAAAGAAATTCACAATATTGATCCATATATATTTTAATACAATCTAAGCTTTCGGCTTACATAAGCCATTATCAAAGATGTCAATTACGACATATTAAACAATATACGGACAAGACAGTGATGATTGTCTGTCATTGTTTACATAGATGATTTCTAAACAACGATAAACACGCGCACATAAGACGCTAGAAGCTGAAATCGCACCGCATCTCATGACGTCACATATGACCACACGAGAGTGAATTGTAGAAGTATGGGAAGCCGTTGGTATAAACCAATGGCTTCTGTTACCAATTATAGACATTTAAGAATATTTGTAGAGATGCTATAATTGATTTTGTTTAGGTTGGGTTTCAACTGTTTAATGTATAATGCTTCAAGAATTTTTAGTTTTTGACTATTGTTTTCATGTCGAAGTATAAATGTGTGTTCGACAAGTTTATATTGGTATATATATTGAAGGATATATATTGATGACGATCTGTTTATTCCGACATTTTAAAATAATAATAATAACGTATAAACTTATCAATTATATGAGAATATTTTTATTATTATTCTTATTGTTGTTATTATTAATATTATTATTAATATTTTTATTACAATTATAATTATTACAATAATAACAATAATTATTATTATTGTTGCTGTTTTTGTTTTTAAAATATATGAAAGACAAATAATAATACAAATCTGACTAGTAGAAAAAACGAAACTAATTAAGTGTATAACTTGGAACGCTTTTTCAAAAAAATTGGAATAACGTTACTTTGTAATTAATAAATAAGAAAATGTAAAGGAATACAATTCATAACAAATGTTATTAAAACAATCTTTGAATATACATAATTATAGATAAAGAAATCGGTGATAATGATCCAACACTCAAAGATAAACAAAATAACCATTACAAATATGCTTTCCTCTAATTCCGAAAATTATGACCACAAAAAAAAACAGACAATTAAATGCTACGCTTAAATATAAATAGATTATAATTTTGCATGCCACTATAATTAAACAAATACAATAGATTTATTGTTCTTAATATATTTAACATTCAGCGAGATAACCTTACACTTGATAAACATTTTTAACAAAACATAAAGAAAAAAGAAAACTCGTTGTATGCTAGAAGCGGAAATAGCACTGCATCTCATGACGTCACAAATGACCACACGAGAGGGAATTGGAGAAATATGAAGTATAGAAAGCCGTTGGTTTAAACCAATGGCTTCTGTTACCAATTATTGGTAAGAATCGTGTGGTCATATATATATATATATATATATATATATATATATATATATGTGTGTGTGTGTGTGTGTGTGTGTGTGTGTGTTTTTGCGCGCGCGCGCCTGCACGTGTGTGTGTGTGTGCCCGTGCGTGAGTGTGTGATTAGCATAGCAAAACTCCACATGAGTGCAATGGCCTAGAGAGGAAAAAAGCAGGATTGTTCTCTTTTATCGCTAGATTCGATTGGAATGTGATATAGAATGCTTAAATGGTCAATGCCCATCTCATCACACCTGTATTTGATATTGCGACGGGCATAGTCGAGGAATAAATAAGCAGTGCTTCTCATTTTGTTCATGTCATACTTTCAATGATATTTATAATGTTTCCCTCTTGTTGTCCTCACCAGACATGCCAGATTTTGTATTTCGATATTGTTCCGCTAATTTACCGATGCAATCAATTGATTCTGATCTTCGTAATCGGGTTCTTATGGATGAGACACATCTCTATCTATCTAATCATACGCTGCTGTAATATCTACAATGTAGTTATACAGTTTCATGCTTGAGAGATAAGTAACTTATTGGATGTGCTGATGGTATATATGACATCATTGTATCCTTTAATTGAAACAAAAATGGAATTGGTTTGTAAGGAATTGGGGTTCAAAAAATGGTCTTCATTTATATGATGTCCGTTAATACATTTACCATGATGAATTCAGTTGAAATAACTTTGTATGTGTGATGGTTTGAGGGTTACATCTTCTATTTCCGTAATGTATTCCTACTTAATAAATCGAAATTTTTGAAGATGCCATCCAGACGCCTTTCAAAAAGCAGAAAAACTTGTTATTGAATTCTGGAAGAAACTAAAAAATTTCAAAACATCAACCTCATATTTTAGTGATCTTTTAATAGCTTGCTTAATTCCCTCATCAGATTATTCATAAATGTTATGCTTCAATAAGGACTTTGTAAGTATTGAAAGAATATAAATGTTTTGGAGACAATGGCATGTTTTCTGTTGATACTTGATTGTACGATATTATTGCGATTTTTCAATTTTCTCTACAATTTAACGCATTTTCTATGCTGCTTGGCTTCATTAAATTCATTTCCAATTTTCCGGCGATATTGGTTAATCAAAGAATTAAGTAGTTTTTCTCTGTCTTTGTTAACTTTTTGCGTATTTTTCAATTCCATTTATCTTCTTCTGTTAGTATGCTTCTTTTGTCTCCCCAAGGCTGTATCTTTTTTGGTTTACTTCGAGTTATTCTTTAAATGGCTTCACGTACTTCACCTAATGACGATATGATAACATTATTTGATCCTTCTCTGTTCTAATCATGATTTACTTACACTCATTTGGAGTCTAGTTCATTATTAAATTCTAAAATTACCTTTCCATTTTTAAGGGCTAAGATTTTATACATCGATGTTTTTCTTGCTCTATATATGGGCGGAAGAGATCTCATTTTTGGCCAAGTATTGAATATTTACTTACAAGTAATCTGTGATCTGAATCATTGTAGGAGATTCATAATCTTCTATCTGTCATAGAACATTATCAAAGAGTCTGAGATGCTGAACTTAGTAATGGGCTATTTGATGTGATGTGTTGTTTCATGAGATTATCAAGACACGGGTTAACGATGGAGTATTTATTGAGTAACGAACGTTTTCTTCATTTCTGTTTGTTTTCTCTATTCCAAAACCTGTTGTATTTTTACCACCTCTGTGCGTATGTGTGTGCATGCGTGTATAGGTACAAATAAGTTTACGAATTCCTCGTAGTAAGACAGTATATGTATGGAGGGAAATATACGCACGCATATATACACGCATGCTGACAGGAACACACCAAAATGGAAACAGATCCAAGAGCACATAGGGGCAGTTAAAAAACATTAAAAGATAAAATGCCGATAACTAATTTATCATCTCGCTGGACCAACCTTAATTGTTTTATGACCCTTCGCGCAGAACTCTTCATTGCCAGTTCAAGAAAGAAATTCGGATTACTAACACAAAACAGAGAATGTCTCATATCGAGAATATTTAACATTGAACATGAGGAAAATTATTTTTAATAATATGTGGAAATAATCCACTTTTACCTGAAGACGGTCGCGAGACCAGAAACACGTGTCGTAAAATTATGTAAAACAAAGCATAATATTTTTCTAAATAAATCCACATTACAACCAAAAACGTTAGCGGCACCTCTCTTCTCTTCTTTTTTATATATATATATATATATATATATATATATATATATATATTATACAGTGAAAAAACTTCCAAATTACTTCATGTGGGTATAATCTATTTCAGACCAACACTGACAAATGCCAGTCCTCCTCAGCACTAAACTCTCTCGGAATGTGGGTTTTGAATTTAATTTAGATAGCAGTCGGTGAAAAGAGGACGCCTAGATTTAATAAGGAGTCTGCTGGTTGGGAGATGTTTATGCCCAGATGTACAAAGAAACGTTCTCCTTTGTTTTTGATATTATTAAACCAATTAATTGTATCTTCTTTGCCCTTTTCCATTGGTTTATATTTAGTTTGTTCCTTAGTTTTGAAAATATTTTCTGTACTATTTTTCCTCATGTTTTCGATGTTAGTTTTGTGTGGAATTTATTAATCTGGGTGTTGGTTGTTTATGTAGTTGGCGTTATGTTCTTTTACTTTGATTAATTACCCCCCCTTATTTATTAGTTACTTCATCCTGTTATCTAGTTTTAGTTTGGCGACTATATTTTTTGCTTACTTTTTTACGTTATTATCTATATAGTTGCTGGTATTTTTATAGAATATGGTGATTTCTTTTTCAAGTAATATTTTAGAGTCGCTGATGTCCATATAGAGACAGTTCGTGTATTATGAATTATTTTGAAGAAAATTGGAAATTTTTTTTCTGACAATTTTTTCTAAGATTACTTTAAATTTCGAGGAAAATGCTGCAAACATATTAAAATTAGAAATGATCTGGGCAAGGTTCATCATTGTTTCTGCAATTTCCAGTATATATTTCACTATTTCTCTCTTTATCAGGGACGAATAAATGTATTCGTTTATCGTACAGAAAGTAAATTTCAGTCAGTATTATGTGTATCATACTAGTAAAGTCATATGGATAAAGGTTTCAAAGAGATTGACAAGAGCGAAAACGTGCGTATAAATATTTTAAGGGGTTTTGAATTAAGTTACAATCACATTGATTATGTTATAAATATGTAACAAATGATGTATGGTTCTTTATCTATAAACATTTGTAAATATAATTATATATATATATATATATATATATATATAAAAATTGTAAATATAGATATGGTCATTGTCTGAATTTAAAAGAATATCAACATAAAGACAAATTTACGATTCAAAGATAATGTTTTTATGACGCTGTCTGCTGCTTGATCAATACAAATAAACTCTACGCTGTCTATATATACTTTCTGAGTTGCAATCGTGGTATTTGTTTATTTCATATAGAATCTATCTATCTACCTATATATATATATATATATATATATATATATATATATATGTGTGTGTGTGTGTGTGTGTGTGTATGTATATTAGTTAGATATGTACAGACAGATATATTTGAACATATATATATTGTTATTGTCCAAGTTCCTTGTACCACGGTGATGGTCTAAGTTTAGAACCAATGAAAGAATAACACGGACACAGGTATGGAATACAGAAATATATTACAACAGAAATATAATACAAAGAAGTAGAGGTATTAGTAATGACTATTAGATTTGATTAGAGTGAACTATGTTGTCTCGGTAAGTATCACTATTCCAATGTCCTTACAATATGCTCTCAATTATCTCTCCTCATCTTACAATATATCTGCTTATACCTCTTGAGAGACACAGTATTTATAATGTCAGGAATAATCCATTATTATTATGGGTAATTTCCCATAACACCCCCCTTCCGAAACTTTTGCGTAGCAGGGGTTTTTAACATTTATTTCTTTTTGGATCTATTACCAAAGGTTCTGTGTACTTACTTTTTCTGGACGATTTTCGTGAATACTTCATCTGGACTGGCTAGAGGATAGTAGCAGTTTTTATCGCTCCGTTCAAAACCATTGAGAAATCAGCGCATACTCGAATCTCCCCTGATTTTTTTTTACGTAAACTGTGGGTGCGGCCCATTGACTGTATTCTACTTTTGTCAATATGCGGGCGTTTTCGAGTCTAGCCAATTCTTGATCTATGTTTTCTATTGAAGCAAACGGTATGCTCCTTTTTTTTTCTTGAAAATAGGTTGAACGTTTTCTTTTATTTCTATATATGCTGCCATTTTCTCATATTTTCCGAGACCTGTTGAAAATACTTCGGGGAAATTCTCTTTTAATTTCTCTTTTAATTTATCTGCCTCGGTCGATAAACTTTTTACATTTTGGCAGTACATAATTAATGGTAAATTCCAAAGTTCGATTTTTGCATCCAGTCCGTACCGAATAAGTTTTCTGTATTTCTTAACATATACATTTTTAATTTTTTGGTCATTTAATTTAATGTCGCATTTGTAATCACTTCACCCCCAAATTTTATTTTTCTCCCAGTTACCGATGTAGCAATTTTATCGGTTCTTGACATGGTAGGTTTGTTCAGTTTTCTCCATGTTTGTACGTTAATAATAGTTAAGTCCGACACGGAATCCAACTGTAGTCTGACTTTTCTGTTTTCCATTTCTACTTGCACGTATTTTCATATGTTAGTTTCATCCGCTTGGTCAGTATTCGTGATTCTTATTCTGTTTTTGCTTTCTCTTCTAGTCCAACAATGAGAACTTTTATGTCCTACTTTTTTGCATGAGAGAAAAGTTTTAAAACGGTAAGGACAGTCTTTATACCAATGCCAAGTCCCAAAGCGATAGCATGGACTGGGTGGTAGTTTTTTCTGATATTGACTTTTTGAAGTAGAAAAGATTGTTTGACCTGTTTTTGAGGAGAGAAAAATTGGTTTGGTTTGTTTGTGAGGAGGGAAAGTTGGTTTGTCTTCGTACTTTAAGTATGTGCGCGATGCCAGCTTCTTCTATAACTTTTGAGTATTTCTTTATACTTATGCATCTCTGGCAGACTTCGTCCAGTTTTTGAAGTGTCAAATCTTGTTCACTCTCCAATTTAGTAAGGATTCTGCTTCTAATTTCCGCGTCTTTGGTTGAAACCAGGCCTTGGACGTATATTAAACATTTGTAATTGTCCGGGCTGAGTTCCGATAGCTTGAAATCATCACAATATTTGTTTGCAATGGAAGCGAAAGTTATGCAGTCTTCGATCTCCTTTTTTACTAGATTCAGACATTTCTATCTTTTGTGGAATAATGAGGTATTAGGGCTGAAAAGTTCTCTTAACAGTTTTATAGCTTCTTTGAAAGTTAACTCATTTGTTTTCCTCAGTAGGATATAATCTACGAATTTGGTATATTAGCATGTGCCTAATTTTTTTAGTAGTAGTGGTATTTTTCTGGCGTCTGACAAATTTTTGCAGTCAAATTCATATAGATCTTTGTACCTTCGGAAGTAAGTTGCAAAAGTTTTGTCTTCGTCGTGTGCATACGTGAAATCTTCGATAGTGCTCCAAATAGCGTCTTGTGAGAGAATTGTTTCATTTTCGGAATTTTGCCCTTTATTTGATTTTACATGTAGCAATAATTCTTGTAATTCAAGATGTTTCTGTTCGTTTTTCTGTTGCTGTTCAAATTGGATTTTCATAAGTTGCACAATGGTTGACTTAAAATCTTCCATGTTAACGCAATTTTTTGTATTTTCCTTTAGTGCAGCCTGATATTCTGGAACCTGTGTACGCAAAAAAAATTTCCCTGTGTAGAACTTGTGTCTTTGTTACCAAAAAGTTTTTTTTTTTTTTATATATATATATTCGCGTAGACTTTGTTTTTTTGAATCTCTACGTAGAACTTGTTTCTTCAGTTTTCTCGTCGACACTGTTATGTGCGACGAATAGCAAAAAGTTTTGTCCTCCGCGTAGAGAGTTGGTTTCTTGGGTTACCTCATCGCAACTTGTTATGTGCTACAGATAGCAAAAAAGTTATGTCCTCCGGGTAGAGAGTTCGTATTTTTTTTGGTGGGGGGTTCCTCGTCGTCACTTGTTATGGTCTAAGTTCCTAGTACCACGGTGATAGTCCAAGGTTAGAACGAATGAAAGAATAAAACAGGTATGGAATACAAAGATATATTACAACAGAAATATAATACAAAGAATTAGAAGTATTAGTAATGACTATCAGATTGGGTTAGAGTGAACTATGTTGTCTCATCAAGTATCACTATTCCAATGTCCTTACAATATGCTCTCACTTATCTCTCCTCGTCTTACAATATCTGCTCATACCTCTTGAGAGGAACAGTATTTATAATGTCAGGAATAGTCCATTATTACTATGGCTATGTTCCCCATATATATATATATATATATATATATATATATATATATATATATATATATATATATATATATAATGAACAGTTCTGCATCGATAGATGGATATGAGCATCCATAGATAGATAATTGGAAAGAAATATAGCTAGATATAAACATGCATAGATAGGTATATGGATAGATAGATAGATAGATATGAAATGAGATAGATAAATATAGAGATAGATATGAATAGACATATATAGATAGATAGATAGATATGAATATTCAGATAGATAGATTGATAGATAGATAGATAGATAGATAGATAGATAGATAGACAGACATTTATGAACAGACATAGACAGGGAGGTAGATAGATATGAACAGACATAGATATGAACAGACATAGTTAGAGATAGATAGATAGATAGATAGATATGAACAAAGACAATAGGGGAGATAGAGAGAACCCGCTTAAAAGCTATTTTGGAATCTTCGTAAACAGATCTGAGATCAGGCTGAAAATATCTGCATTTCAATTATCATAACGTTATGTTCGAATTGGAAAAATAAGTAATTAAAGAAACTTGATAAAACTTGAATTCTGAGGGTTGCTCTTCGTCGTGAAAACTCTGAGTTCCATTATTCGTCTTAGCTAAGCCGATCTTTTTCTTCAGTTCTTCGTCTATGATGTTATATATTTATATATTCTTTTTTTCTCTTATCGAGACGGAAATTTGACGCCGAAAACAAGTGTGTCTCATTTGAAAGAATGAGTGTGCAACGAAAAGAATATATCGGCAATGTAATAAAATTGTCAGCGAAATGATTACGTTAATAGATTATTTATTGAAATATTTGCCACAATAAAGAAAGCAAATGAATTTGTACCTGTCCGATTACCGGGTAAACTCCGAAAACAATTTAAGAAAGACAAAATGATAAAAAGAAAGACGTAAGATAAAACTATTCGTAACTTAGCAGACAGACATTAAATATGTTTTTCTCTGCCTGCTCCTGTAAAAGTTATTAAATAAAACACAAGCTTATATATATATATATATATATATATATATATATATATATATATAAGAATGTCACAGTGTCACTGTGTCACACATTTCGATTAAATGGACACAACTTATGTTACAGACATATTGGATTTCCAAATTTATATTACTGCGATTTTTTTTTACCGGATATTTACTAAGAATTTTTTGTACGATAACGTCATCAGCACACTGCTATATGGCAGCGAGTCTTGGACCCTATATACCAGGCAAGAAAGACGTCTGAACACCTTTCACATGAGAAGCATCTGCCGCATCCTGGGAGAAGCGTGGCAAGACAATGTGACCAAAATTGATGTCCTGTCTCGAACAGGTCTGTCCAGTATATTCACACTGCTCAGACAGCGTAGATACCGTTGGTTGGGCTACGTCTACCGTATGTCAGACCGCCGCATGCCCCAAGACCTCCTGTATAGAGAGCTGGACTCTGGAAAATGACTCGCCGGGATGCCACAGCAGCGGTACCTCTATGTTGTGAGGCGCAACATGAAAGCTGTGGACATCAACACGGATACCTGGGAGAGCCTGATAGCCATACGATCCAAGTAGAGAAGAACCCTGACCAAAACACTTATGTCAGGGGAGAAGAACCTGGCGCTAGTCGCCACGGAAAGGCGGACGTGCAGAAAGCAAAGTGACAACTACAACAGACCAGAGACATAACACATGCAATCTTTGCAACAGAGACTGTCAGTCACGCATCGATCTCTACAGACATAGACGTCGATACTCCAGCCAAGCTGACAACTAGAATGCTACCCATGGTCAACTCTGACCAACGGAGGCCTACAGCAGCTGCTTACAGCATACATACATACATACATACATATAATTAGTGCTAATACATTTGGGAAGTGCATTAATCCTCTTCTTCACCCTCCAGCTATGGATAAATAGCAGGGAAGACATGGTTCTTTAGCTTTAGATTGCAATTGAACTAGGAGAAAGGGCTCTGCTTGATACCTTGTGGCACGTAGTGCACCAGGTCTCTCTATTCGGCCCTTCAAAATGTGTGGTTGGTTTTACAAAACCCTTCACCACTATAATCGAATCGTATGTGCTGGTGTCTTCCAGGAACTGAGCAGCTTGACCTTGCCGAAAACGACGGGAAAATCCACCACACACACACACACACACACACACACACACACACACACACATATATATATATATATATATATATATATATATATATATATATATATACGCATTATGTATGAGGGATCTTAATTTATAATTGCATTTATTTTTTGTTGTATGA